CCCAAGGAAGCTTCGGTTTCACCTCTACAATAATGCACCAGAAAAGCTTCGGTTTCACCTCTACAATAGGGCTCCAGGACGCTTCGGTTTCACCTCTACATTAGGGCCCCAGGAAGCGTCGGTTTCACTTCTACAATAGGGTCCCAGAAAAGCTTCGGTTTCACCTCTACAAGAGGGCTCCAGGGAAGCTTCGGTTTCACCTCTACAATAGGGCTCCAGGAAGCTTCGGTTTCACCTCTACAAGAGGACTCCAGGAAGCTTCGGTTTCACCTCTACGGGTCATAGACTCTAGCACTCGAGCCACTCAAGTCAGTCCGACCACAAGTAATTAAGGCACTGCTATGGCTGCATACAGAATTGGAGACTCAGTTGTCGCCATGANNGTCAACGACTGAGACTATAATTCATCCATGCTCCAAGGTGTGCCTCTGTCCCGACAGTTTGTTGGGGGAAGATCCGGAGAGCTCTTCGGAGCAGCCGACCTTCCTTTGCCATCGCCTCATGTATAGTATATCGACAGCGGAGTGCGTTTCTTTGTGCTTGCAGGTCAGCAGTGCGCTGAACGACATGGCTTCACGGTCGAAATACCTGCCGCCTCCACAGAGGAGCCTACTTCGAAGTTCACATTGCAATGTCGCTCATACACTCCACGTCCAGGAGACCCGCAGCGAGTTGGGCGACAATACCGACTTCAGCGAGCCCGAAGACGAGAAGGACGCAGGGACCATCAGGCTGCATCCATTGCTTAGCATACACGTCGAAGCAGGAACCCGTATATCGCGAACCAACGGATCTACACGCTGACGACGCCCGATCAACCGGCCCCTTCGAGAGCTTTTGTAGACACAAGTGGGATGCCGGCGCAGAGGTCGACCCACGCGTCGAGGCGCCAAAGTACGACCACCAGATCCCAGACAACAGATTCTGGGGCATTCACAATCGGGTTTTCGCGCTGTGAAAAAGAGACAGAGCTATGCAAAGTTTTCGAACTCTAAGTTCGT